GTTTATGTCACTCTCAACCACTCTCCCCCAAAACTCTTAATTAGCTAAACATGCGGGCGGCACAGCGCCCTCTATCTCTTTTTTCTACATCTGTTATAGGAGGACTTTTCTGTTATTGGGACCGGCTTCAGAAATGTATGTAGGACTGTTGCCAAATCCAGTGCAATTGGTGCAGTCACACCAGGCAGCAGAACTGGGAGACTTGGGGGGGGGCAAAAAGCCTAGTACCTGCTCTGTTTGTATGTATGTGCTTGTAGACACACACACATACATACATGCATGCATGCATTTCTAAATCTGGTCCTGATAAGAGAAAAGTACATTCCTGTATTTATTTTCATATGATCATTTGTAAAAATTGTGTTGCAGTTTTGACGAGAAGATAATGTACAGTTCTGCTAAGACTTGTATTACAATTAAATTATTGTTGCATGCATACGGGTTCGTAATAGATTGAATGCACAAATGGGATAAAAAATTAATAAAATTTATTCTTATCACAGGAATAAATTTATTCTCATCACAGGAATAAATAACAAAACACAGGAGTTTTCCTCAAAGGTATACATATAATATCATGTAATGTGTAATCAGTAGCTATATTTTAAACTGCTAAAATGTTAACTAGAACACAATCCAAGGCACAAAGAAATCTAATCCGATCAAAATTTACACCAGCTAAGTAAACAGCAACTGAGCTGAGATGTTCTCTCTGGCTTTGATAGCTTTTTAAATCGGCGGCACAAGAGAGTTCTCGCAATTTTTCAAAAGCAAAAAGAGTAAAATTAAGGTTACAGTTAAACACACTAGCCAATTACATTTGTTCAAATTAAATATAAATAAAAATATATATTTATTTATTAAATGTCAATTGCACGTGCTCTTGTATTTTTAATTTTCTTAGCTTTCTCTTAATATTCGTCACATTCAGGGAATAAAATAATTCAAATTATAATTCTAATAGTATTAGCTATTTAAATACCAGATTTGGAACATTATTTTAGCAAAAGACATTTGTAAATTTTTCCTTAAAGTAATCTGGTATGTTTTGTGAAAATCAGGGGCAGTCGCTCAAGGTTTTTAATTCATCAACCATGCAGTAATAAAAAGTTAATGCAATTCAATGGATTTTCTGTAAAAGTAAAATGATAAGAGAAATAAATGTGATACAAAGTAAAATAAGCAATTGAGATGACATAAGCTTCCCCCCCCCAGTACATATGTTAAATTTTTACTACTACCAATATCTCCCCTCCACCCCCTCCAAAAAATAGAATCCATGCTAAAAAATGTATGAGCCATTACTGTAGTAACTGCATACTTCCCAGACAAAGGCAGAACAATATTTTGTCATAAACAGTACTGTCAACAGCTGCTTGAAGAAATGCATATTGCCAATACTGTAATAAAACCACATATGAGACAACATTATACTCGTGCTTCTTCTTTTGTGTGTGTATGTTTGTAAAGGACGTTTGGAATAAATTAGCACACTAGCTATCAGTTTTATCAGAAAACAGGATTATTTGCTGAAAAATGTAAGAAAAAGTAACTTAACAACAACAATTTTTTTTTAAGGAAAATTTAAATTTTGAAGTAATGAAACACCAATTGTAATGAGCAGAAACCAGTAAGTGGCCTTTATGCTTGTTCCCATTAAATCTGCCCATTTCTATAAGATTACTGCTCAAATATGCCATAATCTTGATAATTTTGCAAAACATCCTTGTTCACTGAGAGAGTTAGAAATCCCCCTTCTTTTTAAATAATAAAAATTATAATAGTGACTTATATTTCATTTATGAATTGATTTCTGATCTACGTCATTATTAAGTATTCCCAAGGAAGAATGTTCTACTTTTGCTTTTCTGTTCTACTCAAAGATTATCATTATAATAAAAGAAATTAGTGACAAAGTTAAGACAAGACTTTTCATCAGAAATGTATTTAGTGCAAAAAAGTATTTTGGTCACAGAATGATAAAATCATTTGGGAGTTCAAATGTGGTGTGAGAGAGAAAAAATTTATAAAAGTCACCTTTGTTCTGTTTTGTGTTAACAGTGTAAAAGAATAAGTATTTATATAGCAGCAGCATGTTTAATCTAACAGCTACATATTTTCAATAACAGTATAGATAGTTTTTGCAAATGTCCGCTTAAGCAACATGTGTTCTTTTTGCCATAACTCCATGAGAAATCATCTGAGAGACATGAAATTCAGAAATGACAGACAGCATTTTGTATTTAAATGATGACAAAAGCATGATTGCACAAAAATGAGTACAAACATGTTTACAGTTTGGAATCAAACAAAAAAGGCTTTATCAAATTCATGGTATCGTTACACGTGATTGTCTGTACAAGAGGAAGAACAACGAGTAGATGTTCCTTAGTATGGGATATGATCTCCCCTTACTGCAATGGTTGCTCCACACCATATCTCCATACTCAGCAGCAGATTGTCCAACAGATCTTGAGGTAAGAGTACGTGTGGTAATACAATTTTAATTATGGTAGTACAATAATTCAGATAGATCGTTAATAAAATCATAACAATAGAATAGAATATTATTTACAGATGCTGATTGAGATATGCACAAGTCGCCACAGTGCGCATTTCTCAATCGGCGTCTATTTCAGTTGTTGGGTGTTCCCCCGGAGGATGTAATCGCGCAAGGCATCTTCCCAAAGCATCCCACACATGTTCTATGGAATTTAAATCAGGGAAGTATGCTGGGCAATCCATTCAAGTGATATCTTCATTTTCCAGTAGCTTCTGAACAGCTGGAGTATGATATGGTTGTACATTGTCATCCATGAAAATGAAGCCTGCTCCAGTGGCATCTCGGAAAGGGAAGGATCACCTCCTGACAATAGCGATCTCTGGTTACAGAACCTGTGTCAAAAATGTTTAGCTCTGCCTGCTTGTTCAGCATAATGCCTCTCCAGATGAGAACTCCAGGACCACTGTAATGGTCTTTTTCCGTGATGTTACTACTGGAATGAAGGCATGACTCCACTAATAAGAGAAGTCCAGTTTTTACGTTCCTTGAACCACTCTAAATGGTGGCACCGATGGCCAACTTTCAAAGAGATGCAGCTTTCAGGATGGCAGGTGAATAGGCCACTTTTGTCAAGGCTTCTGGACACAGTTGCTGAGCTATGTTGTTTGCTGACTGTTTTCGGGCTCTTTTCACCTGAATAATGGTATATCGGTCATCCACTGCAGTTGTTTCCCTGGGGCAGCCACCACCAAACTTTCTAACAGCTGTACGTATTGTTTGGAAGGTTTTCTAAGCATGCGAAACGACACTTTTGTTGATTCCGAACGCTTCAGTTTAACTGGTTATGCTGCGACCCTCTTCCAGCTTTTTTATCTTTCTTCCATGTGTGAGGTCATCCAGGTGATTTCTAGCCATATTTCACAAAAGAAATCGCATTCTCAGCGATTGTCTTTACTTGCGTCTCCGTCCTTTCTTTTATTGTAGTTGTGAGTTGAGCGCGCCGACTGCATGCATTTTGTGTACATTTACGCCGTCTGTGACTGTTTGTTCCTGACATTTGCATACACGTGACCTTTCTACTGAATTGCGTGTTTGTTGTACTGTTTGCAAGAACCCCTTTTCTGCAATTTCATGGCTATCTGATTAAAATTTCCATTGTTGCTTAAGTTTTGCACGCCAGTGTCGATTGAAAGGCATCACATAATTACAATATTCAATCGAAGACATTATTTAGTGTAATAGCAAGTTAATCTGTGTAACTGACATTATTTCCACATGGGCTTGATATTTTGTTGTAAATGTATAATGTGGCTTAAAGTGCAAGAGTCATTTTGAAAAAATTTGAGGAATACGAAGGCGGTAAGTGAAAGCTTTGATTTTTTAATATTCATAAATTAAGATACTGTTTGATAATAAATTGATAAGCTTTCTTGCTCGGGAAGTTCTTAACCATCCGGTCCATGAAAAATTTCTTATCAGAGCTTTGTTTTATCAGACATTTGAATTCTAAAATTAACAAAAAATAAAATTAGAGCAGTTTAAATGTGTTTCAGTTTTTAAAAGTTTTTAAATAAAAATATTTCAGTATGCATTAAAATTCTTTTTGTAATAAAGGGAATAATATATTCTTAGTTAAAAGTCAATTCCTAATTTATAAGAATAATAACGGGAAAGAGATCCACAGTTAATCAAAATTATGGTTAATCTAAGGATAGTTAAAAATAACAGAAAAGTGAAATAACTCGTATTATAATTAACAGAAAAATACTATTAACAAGTTTTGTATTTTCAAGCAGTTTAATTTAGAGAATAGGTTTATTTAGTAGTTGTGTGAAGTAAATCTGTATTCAAAACAAACACTGTTAATAACAGAAAAATAAAAATTATTAGAATGACATTAAAGTCTGTTATTGACAAGAGAAAATGAACTATGTGTCCGAGTTCAAATTCAATTCAAAAAGTTATGTAGAACTTTTTGTACTGTATTTATAATATTTATATATTCCAGGTTATTTACAAAGTGGAAATTATACTCTGTTGTAAGTGAAAACAAGTCCCAAGTTTTATGACATCATCTACTATTACTACTGTGGTTTAACACTTTTTTTGGGGGGGAGGGGAATATTTTCTATGGACACTTTTGTTTTATGCTGATGGATTTTGCCATCTTCCTGCAATCAGTACTTTTTAGATAGGATGCAGTTAATCAGGGGTTGAGTGTAATATCTTACCACAGTTCATGTATCTGGAAATTTTACTCTGTGTTGTATGCTTATCTTTTCTTGTTATCAAAGCACACTACATGTATACAGAGTTAATGTGTAGTCATGATTAAATTACCATTATATTTTTGCATAATGAAATTGGATCAGACAGATTTGATAGAAATTCTGCCAGGGTGCACTAAATTCAAATCTAAACATTTTGTTAAAGTAAATATATTAAATTAATAATATATTTTTATGTTAATTCATACAAAATGTAAATATTTTTACAGGTTATAATCAGCAGATGGCTCCTCCAGCTATGTATGGTAATAAAATGCATCAAAGCATGATGGGTAGTAGTTCGTCTCACATGGCACCTTACTCACCTCAACCTTCAGCACATTATCCACAAGGCAAGCTGGTTTCTTTAAAAATTTTATATAAATACTGTTCTTCAAATATCTGTTTTTCCTAAATACTTTTCTATTCGTACATTTTACTTTTTGGATCTGCATATGAGGAACTGTTTTTAAACAAAATTTAGTAGCTAAATTTGTGTAATTAGATGTTGTTCAGTAGATTCTCTTTTTTTACATGATTTCAAAATAACATAGCGAAAAAAAAGCATTAAAAAATTAAATAAATAATTTGGATATTATTTTAATATGTAATGGTAATTAATTCTACAGTGTAACCTCGAGATACGAGCACCTCTATACGAGAAATTCGAGTAACGAGCCAGGCTGTTGGTATGTGGGGCACGTTGCCCTATCCGGCTCAACTTGGGGAATCCCCTCATCAGATCGCTCACTCATTATTCTTTGATCTACGTATTTGGGCGCTTGTGAGTTAATTCTTTTTTTACTTTTAATGAGAAAATAATTATTTCTTGATGTCTGCCAAGAAGATTGTTGCCGTTGAAATTAAGAAAGAAATCATAGATAAACATAAGCGTGGTGTAAGAGTGATGGAATTAGCGCAGACTTATGGCCATTCGACATCGACGATCTGCACTATTCTGAAGAAAAAGGAAGAAATTAAGAAACTTTATGTGGCCAAAGAAGTTACCTGTACATCCAAGCACCGTCCAAAACTCCTGGAATATGTTGAGAAGTTGTTGTTGGTGTGGATTAACAAGAAGCAGTTAAGAAGGCGATTAGGTATCAGAAGCTATAATTTACGTTAAGGCTAAGAATTTGTACTTTGACCTTCTGCAAAAAACACCAGGTACATCAACTGGTGTTTTTTGCAGAAGGAAACTGGAAGATGAGATGGCAATGAGATTTTTTGGGGTGTGGAAAGGTATAACTAGATTTCTATTATTTTGAATGAGGAACGTTGTTTCTAGATACGAGAAATTCGGTATACAAGCTCTGATTGAACCAATTAAACTCATATCTCGAGATTCCACTGTATTTGTTTTTGGAATAGTCTATGCCTCTTGCAATCTACTTACTATTTGACATGCCCAGGGAGCTGTGTGAAATACCTAGAAACTACAGAATGCAATTCATTTGATTGTGAGGATTGCATTGGACATTGTGAAAAGCTGATGTGATTTGTGTGTGTAACGTGTTTTCTTGATATTCCACAGTATAAATTAACTCTTAAAATGTTGTCTAATTCCAGAATTATGAAACATGAAAGAAGACCAGTTTTATTGGAGTGTAAAGTAAAAATTTTAGATTGTCTTGAAAATGGGCGAGGTTCAGCATCCGTGGCTAGGGAGTTTGGTTTGAATGAAGCCTCTGTGAGAACCATTAAAAAAGTGAAGTTGCTAATAAGGGAGTATCTTCTGAATCCAAACATAGTACAAAATCAGCATTGTGCACAAGAGATTTTATTGTAGAAAAAATACAAAGGGCATACCTCGATACCAAGGAGTATACAAGGAACTCGCAGATGAGTGCTTCAGCGATCCATAACCAAATTTTTTTTTTAATTCAGTAAACCCAAAAATATGGGAAAAAATATCACACAGGCTCTGCATATCTAAAATGATGTCATACCAAATGTGTGTAAATGGGTACGTCATTTGTATGATAGTAAATAAATAATCTTTGTTAGGATTTTTTAAAGTATTTTTTAAAATAAAATTAAGGTACAGTAAAAAATGATGAATTTTATTTCTGAATTGATTTTTATGCAAGGAACCTATCCACCATTGTACTTTTTTTAGATGTTTGTATTATTTTTTTTAACATGGTATTGTGCAGAGTGTATCCTCCATGTAAAAGCTACTCTGTTTTCATAGACTTTTCTTTCATTAAGGTAAAAAATATATACATATACCCACTCTGTTACTCGGCTTCGTGAGTTAATTGCCACATACATATATATGTATATGGAGAGAGAGAAAGACAAGTTAAAATATTCAATGCTTGTTACTTTTTTGCCCAAAAATTACTATAACTGATGAAAAAAAAAAAAAAAATAGGCATTTTGGGTGTAAATAATCTGCATCAAATATTTTCTGGTATCTCTTTTAAACTGAATATTTATTTAGTGAAACAGTATAAAAATATTTTGTCTTTATTCAGTTAGTCTTTTGAGATTTTTGATGCATCACATATTACATAGCAGGGCTTAAAAATTTTTTTAGTCGCGACCCCTTCTTATCATTGAGATTTTTTTCAGGACCCTATAAGCATTGCGCAAATCTGAGACACGCATGAGTGAAACTTTCAATTTTTTTCACTTGTACTGTAGTATACTATTGCAGTTTTAGGTCATTAACTTTAAGACATAGAACAATGTGAAAATTTGACATAGAGACGAACAGACGAAATGACAGCATCACGTGCAAAGCAAGTAAAATGAACATTTATATTATAAAAAGAATGCATCAAAACGTTCTCATATTTTCTTTATCGGTATAGTCTTATCTTTATCTATTTTCAGATATATTGTGTTAAAATATTTGGTTATTGTAAAATTGTTATAATAAGCTAAAGAAAAAATTAAAACTGCTAAAATATTTGGCGACCCCCTGCTGCTTCTCCAGCTATTCCTATGAGGTTGCGATACACAGTTTAAGAAACTCTGTTATATAGGAACAGAACTATCATTGTAACAACTTCATTGAAACTCTTCATTTTGGAATTAATATTTTAAGTTTTTGCTATTACATTGCTATATGATATGACTTTTAAATAAGAAATGACTACAAATATAACTTTAAAGACTTGAAATTGAAATGAGAAAATTGCTTAAAAAAGTAAATACACACATACGGAAATATGCAGTATATGAAAGATATCAATGCTTGTAATTTAAATGTTTTCCTTCTCTGCCTTAGGTGGTTTTCATCGTCCTCCAAGCTCTATGTCAATGCATAGTTATGGAAATCAAGCTCAGAACAATTATCCTGGTCCTTCATATCCTGCACAATCTCCGATACCCCCTCATCGAATGCCAACTCATCCTAGTTCTGCTCCTTCAAATTATGGTAGTCCATCTGGCACAGGTGGCTATAATAATTCTCAGTACTCTAGTACTGGACCACCTTCTACTGGTTATAATATGAACAACATGATGCCACCACCTAATCAATATCCTAAAGCAGCTAGCATGCCACCACCTACTGGAGGAGCACAAGCAGCTGCTCAGGCTGCTGTTATTGCTGCTGCTGCTAGTTCTGGCAGTATGCGCCAATCACCTATGTACCTGCGGCAACATTTACAACAGAAAATATACAATAATTATAATTCGGCAATCAGTCCTGTACCACCTGGTACTCCAGGATCTAACGGCGGGCAGGACACTCCAATGCCACCTCCAGCAAGTACACCTTCTTCACAGCCATTAAACATGAATCAAGGATCTCTGCCTCCATCTTCAGGAGCACTTGGAAATGCTTCTAGTTGTGATGGTCCAATGCCAGCTTCAATGGTACCTGCTGGTTTCACGCAAACATCAGCTCCTTCTCTTGGTAAGTTGATTGCATTTCTAAAGCTGATAATATGGTTATTACAATTAAAAGTCTTCTTGTATCATCATTAATATTTTTACCTACATAATTACCTATGTCTTCTGATATGCACATATCTGTTTTGTTTGTATGCTTTATGTCAGCCTTACTAGTAGATATGATTGAAACCAATAATATATTTTTTGTTCAGGCTATTCAGCCTTTCTGGGTGAAGCTAAGTTGTCTAATTTTGGGAGCTTTTCCTCTTTTCATTTTTGGACCTCCACTCTTTTTAACTAATACAGTCAAAAGCCTTTAATCCAGACGTCCATAATCCGGACCTCAAAGCTACAAGCTTTCTGCGCATGCGTAAACGCAATGCACATTTAATCTATAAGAATGTATAATGGATGGTATAAGCTAAGCTAAAATTATCTAATTATCTATTTCAGTTAATGCAGTTAATGTTGCAGATTGCGTTGTTCCTTAATCTTCTAATTGGATCCAGCTTATTATTTTTTGCAGACTGTTAGAGCAATTTTATAAAAGTAAGCTTACTTTCAATTTGTCAAAAAGAATTTCCGATTCTAAAGCTGCCAAAGGATCCACAAAGCGAAAGCATGTTTCGATGTCCATCAAACAAAAAATGGAATCACTGCAAAAAATTGATAAAGGCATATCCTTTGTTTCTCTAACAATTTCGAAATCTGTTTATCAATTTCACACTGCTCTGCGGGGGGGGGATGTCGCGACACACAATGAACTGGAAGTTGATCTGTCAGCACTATCCTTATCTTCAAGGCAGATGTTTTTATTTTATTCAGCTTATAATTCCTTACTAAATGTAGTATTTCATCTCGATGTACTCCATCTTTGATATGATTTAAATCAAATTCCTCATCATTATAAATATCACGAATACATATCAAATAGTTTTCTGGTTGCAATTTTCTAATTTCGCGCGCATGCATAAAAGCGTAATGTATGCTTTTATGCATGCGCGCGTTGAAAGAAATGTTTAGTAAAGTAAACAAATAAATATTAAGCTTCTCTCTTTTTTTTTTTTTTTTTTTTTTTTTTGTAAATTTTGATACCCATTAGCTCATAATGACTCTTTATTTCATAAATTACGGTTTCATATTTTTAATTTTATAATTTCTGCATGCCATCTTACCAGATTTAAACTGATGATCTATAATCCAGAAAAACCGATAATCCGGAATCGCCGAAGTCCCAACGAGTCCGGATTAAAGACTTTTGACTGTATCTAGTATTTTATCAGTTGTTGCAATTATTTTGATATTTTTTGCCTTCAGATGTTTTTTTATTCAAACCAATAACTAATAGAGTTCTGTTCTTAAGAGTTTGTAGCACTAAGCTACAAGCTTAGTGCTACAAACATGACTAAGTATAATTCACAGACTGCTGTAGGATGTGAGCACTTAACTGTCCTGGTTGCCCTTTTCATGAAATGTGTATGCATAGTCTGATTAAAAATGACCTATTTGTGATCGCGATTTTTTGGAATGCTTTACTACTTTCTTACGCTCAAATATAAAAAAAAAAAAAAAAAAAAAACACAGTAAAAACAAATATGAAATAATTATCACAAACAGCACAGGCTAGTTATGGTTAGATTGGACATGCACATTTGATGACAGTGCTACTGTATTGCAGGTGGGCCAATATGTGTAAACAAAAGAATTCTTTGTGAAGCACTCTTACAATTAATAACATAATTTATTCACAGAATTTTAAATTAAATCTGTACATACAAAATATTAAAGATGGATTCGGGCACAAATTTATTTCTTTTCGAATGTTGAAAAATCAATATGTAATGGTCCTTTAAAACACATGAGCCGTTGCTTAATTTTGCCTATCTGTAGCTAAACCACTGCTGTAAACGTTTTTTCATTAGAATTTTTATTTAACTTTTACTTATGTACCTTGCATTTATTCAAAATTAAACAAATTATATATCCAGTACGATCAGTTTTATTTTTAATTATAATGTCAAGTAGTCCTTAGTTTTTAAAATATGCCTATTAGTGGCTATAAATGTATTTTTATTTACGATTCCATTTTTAAATTGAACGTTGAAATGTATCATATTATGTGAATAAAATGTTTTATTAGGTATACCACCTACTACTGTGACTCAAAGTATCAGCAGTCCTGTTCCTTCAGTAACAACAGTGTCTAGCCCATCTGTACCTGACATGATGCAATCTCAGCAAGTAAGGAGTTCACTTGGTGGCTCCCAAGGCCCTCCCCCGCCACCTGTCATGGATGAAGGTAGTCAAGCATCTAATGCCTCCGCTTCATCTTCTCTGCCTGAAGAGAGAGTGGAAACTCCAAAACCTAATAATAAGCCTGCGATGTCGCATCCTCCGACACCAAATACATTGCCGTCACCTGGTGCAGCATCTATGTCATCATTTCATGATGAGTTTGAAAGTGTTTCTAGTCCTAGTTGGCCTAGAACACCAGCAAGCCCGGTAAGTTTATTTGTGTTTTATAACATATAATGTATACCAATATTTTAAGTAGCATTTTTTTTTTATTTATATAGAATTAAAATTTGTTTCTATGTAAATCAAAGTTTTGTGCATCAGAAGCAATATTATGAGTTCAGGCATGTTTTTGTATATGCAATTTACAAAGGGAACCTATCTTTTATTTTTAAAATGCTGTGTGGGGACGTGTTATGCATAATGAAAGGCTGTAACTTGGATCTGCTTAATACTATTTTCCAACAGTGTTGCAAGCATCAGTATCTTCATTTCCATTTCAGAAGGATGTAATCAAGTGCTATCAAGTGCTGCGTGAAACTGGCCCATATCAAATTCTGTGCATTTCCTCAGATTACAAGTCATTTTTCTGGTATTTTGAAATCAAATCCATGCTAAATTAGCATAAATGTATTGGTTTTTATAATATTATACATGTCCAGACAGGGTTGGACTCATTTAGCATGTTTCTTTACTACTTGCATATCAGGCTTTGGCTTATTTGATTATGGCAGAGAATGCAAGGCAATCTGTTTCTCGCATTTCAGGAAAAGGATGATTATCAAGTATCAAGTATTTATCAAATCTTGAAACAGCGTTACATTCTATGGAACAGGTCCTCTGTTTTTTTTTTCATTGTTCTGTTGGCTTGCGAATGTTAAGTTGAAAGTACCAGAGTATATTTTCTTTCATATGTACAAAGAAGGGTTATTTTGAATTATTTTTTTTTATCTTTACAGTTTATAACATCATGCATAGTATATTTTATTATTTGATTTGATGTATGAAATTGTTTAGGTTGTGTAAATTATGATTTAAACTAGACTGTAATAACAGCATTCACTCTTATTTGTGATTTCACATATCCACAGTACCTCTTAAACATATTTCTTGCAAGTTCATGACCACTCTTGTACTTATATAATCTTTCTCAACTTCAGGTTTCTAGTTAATAAAATTTAGAACATGAGTCTCTTGCATGCATGTATATTTGGTATCAGTTGATGCATCATAACTAATTGCAAATGAAGAGCTGAAAATCAACAAGTAATAATTAATTCTTCCTCATCATCCTTTATAAGTACAAATTTTCAAGTGTAGTTTGCTTCACGAGTTTTCTAAAAGTAATTTAAAGAATAGATAAATAAATGCTGTTGGCAAAAAGAGACTTTCACATTTTCTTGAAATGCCCTCTCCCATTGAAATTGATAGCAATAGTGAAAATTTCCCTTTTATCCGAGTTTTCCTGCATCTCTTGTAAGATTTAATTATTTTCAAAATCAAATAAATCCAACTGATTATTTAATTGAATGAAATGAATTTATTTGCAGTTTCGTTCTTCTCTGATGTAGCTGTAATTGAAAGTCTGGTAGTATCATTTTTAGTTTCTTAAATTCATTCATTTATGTGTTTATTTTTTCATTTCCAGTGCTAAGCCTTTGGAAACTTGTCCTTACTTAATAAGCTAGAAATAAAACACAACTCATAAACATAAATAGAATTCAATATCATAACCAGAATTTTGACAACACAAGTTTAAAATATAAACAAAGTTTAATAGACTAGGAAGAAAGTCTCATGTGGTCTTGAGCTTCCCAATAACATTTAGCAGCATTACAGTTATTATTTATTCATTTTAGCACAATTTTCTCTTCACAGTCTCTGGTCTTTGCTTGAATTTGACTTGTCTTTATTTCTTCCCTTCTCCCTTTTAATTCTCTTAAACTTCCGATTCTTATTTGTTTTATTTTTTAACATTATTCAAACATTCCTCATCTAGTGTAATAAATTTGTATTCATTGTTAGATTCTCAGGTTCTGCCAGTTATGTAAAAGTACTAACACACTTTTTGTTTAACATTAAAGTAAAGTTACTTATATTACATATTCATTTTTTTTACTTTTAAATATTTTTATAGGTTATAAATAATCAAGCATATGATCATCACCCAATAAAGGTATGTGTATTCAAGAGGTAATTTATAATCTTTTATCTGTTTATATTAATATTTTATTTCTTAATCTAATTGTGTTACTTCTGTTTTCCTTAGCGTCCTGATGGAATGTTAAAGCTTTATGATATGTCTGATGATCCTGATAGAAGGTTATTTTTGGATAAATTAATCATGTATCAGGAAGAAAGGGGTACTCCTCTTTCTCAGTGCCCCACGATTAGCAAGCAACCGCTTGATTTGTATCGTTTGTACCTGGCAACTAAAGAACGTGGTGGTTTTGTTGAGGTAAGCCCAATTTAATGCAATAAAATGTATTCAAATTACCGTATTATGTGTCATTTATTTTTATGCATTAATCCACTTATATTTTTACAAAGTAAAATATTATAGATGAATTTAGACTATTAGTTAGTTCTCAGCCTGTTTTGCCCCATGCCCTTCCTTCACCATTGCTAGAAAATCATCCCCCTTTCCAAAACTAGAAAAATACATGTATACATTAATTTAGATTGTTTTTTTAATTTAAATCAAAAAAGTACAGAAAATATTGATAAATGTGAAAACTTGAATTAATGTAAATTTTTTGTGTTCATAAACAAAAACTAAGTACTTAATAGCTAAATCAAAAGATGGACCTCATTCTCTTCCCCTGAAATTATGAAATCCCCTCCTCCCCACTGGCAGAGAACCTCTGATCTAAAGACTTCAAAAATTTGAATTTTTATTTTATGTTTGCCATTGTTTGCAAAGTACAAAATTTCAATAGCAGAAAATTAATAAAATTTATTTACACTACAACCTTTCTCTCCATAATAAAATTTAATTGATTATATCATAATTATGATAACTGCTATACATAATTTCTTATGACAAGTAAGTGCTATTTAAAAAAATACATACCCAAATTCATGATTAACTAGTCATTGGTCATGTCATATTAGACTACAGCCAAGATGAAATAATTTATGTATATCACATCTCAGCATATAATTTATAAGCTCCATAACAATTCTGCAATTTATATATTAATATGTTGTTTGAACTTTTGAATACTTTTAAATTATCAATGATATTCTAAACTATTAGGCAAAAATGAGTTTATATTTAATATAAATGATCATTAAGTTTACTGCAATATGGCAGTTTTTTTTTTTTTTTTTTTTTTAGAACAGTCTTATTAATGAGCTAAACTTATAGTTGACCTTCGAAGTGACAAAGCTGTATGTATATGTCAAAAAATATTTTCATGATACCCTTAAATACACAGACAAATGTTTCTAAATGTACCTGAATGATTAAGGTAAGTATATTGGAAGAGGGGAAAAAAGTCCAGGTAAAAAGGTAGGATAGTCATTTTTGAAATTCCAATCAAGAAAATAAATACCATTTACTTGTGGCTTTCTTTTGAGAGGGGATGGGGAAACTTCAGATTTGGGAACCAGACCATAACTAAATTCATAAATATATATTTACTTGATTAACTGCATTAATCTCAGTAACTGATAACAATTCTTACATTATTCTCACCTGGTATTCCTTTAACTATGAATATACTGGTATACTCTTTTACAACGACTTAATATTATAGATGATTGACTTAATATGAAATGCTGCATGTAAAGTTAATATATGCGTGATAGCTTATTATCTTAGGTTTCTTTTTAATTTTACTGTCTTGAGAATCATGTAAAGGGCTATTTGAACACTTAACTTCTGATTTTGGATATGATGTACAATCTTTTCAATATAGTTCTGTCATTAATGTAATGAAATCGTGGTAGTTTTGTACTGTAATATAATATTGCTTAATATATTTAAAAACTGAAAAAAAATAATGTAGATATTAAATTCTGTTTTAAATTGAAATACTCATAAAGCAATCAAAAATGAAGTTGAGACAGTACAAAGATGTGGAAGATTAGATTGATTTTTAATCAGATGTTATTAATTATATGAAGCAATTTTAAAAGTTTAAAACATTCTTTTGAGGATTAATTGATTGTTAATCAGATGTTATTAATTATATGAAACAATTTTGAAAAAGTTAAAAACGTTCTTCTGTGGATTAAAATCTTTGATTTCTGTTATGAAATAAATCATTTTGTGATATTCTTTTTAGTATTTCTTGGAAACAACTCACTTTGCTTATCTATCATGTGTTTCACCAAAGTGATGGTTATATCAACCTACATCATTATCACTTTCTTTCAGATTCCTTTAGTTATTTATATTTTATGTGCTTATTTATCAATAATGCTTTTAATGTGGTTTTATTTAGGTGATGAAAGGTAAAATGTGGAAAGAGATTGCTGGGCTTATTGGAATTGGTGCTTCTTCAAGTGCGGCATATACTCTGAGGAAGCAGTACATCAAGCATCTCTTACCCTTTGAATGTAAATTTGATAGGGGAGGCATTGATCCAGGTCCTATAATTAGCAGCCTTGAATCAAATTCGAGGAAAAAGAATGCAAAAAATGCAGGTATGTTTTAATAACAAGTGTCAAGATTTTTTATCTGTTTTTTCATTTATCAATTTGAGCAAAATTCTTCTAATAAAGCTATAATCATACATAAAGATTTGATACAACTTTAGACATGAGATCTTTTTTAAAAGAAATGCTATCTTAACTATTCATGTTTAAAAATACTAAATGTTTTAAATACTAAATTAATTAACTGGATCATTTTTTGGTTTATTTTTACTTCCTTGTACAAAGTAAAGGAAAGTGTTATAATGATGGAAAATTTCAGATTTCAATAGAAATATCCATCTTATTTTTTTTTCCCCCCTCATGATGTCTGTACATACAAATCAAGTAGAGGACTCTTTACTCTAAAATGCATCTTTTCATGACATCTGTATGTAAGTATCATGCATAACTCAAAAACAATTAGCCCTAGAACGTTGAAACCCACCTCCCTTACCTGGCTTTTATTTTTGCATTTACTGGCCACAGTCATATACTTGCACTTACAGAAGTGTTTTAGAGGGCGAAAATATTCATGTTTTGGCAATTTAAAATTAAAAAAAAAAAATGGACTAATAACGAAATTAAACTTTTAATCCCGTTGCACAATTCCTATGATGCGAAAGTACTTGGGATACATCATCATGAGTTGACTGCCGTATACAAAACGGGGAGAATTAATTTAAAAATTTGCACCTCCCTTACTTGGCTTTTATTTTTGCATTTACTGGCCACAGTCATATACTTGCACTTACAGAAGTGTTTTAGAGGGCGAAAATATTCATGTTTTGGCAATTTAAAATTTTCAAAAATGAACTAATAATGAAATTAAACTTTTAATGCTGTTGCACAGTTCCTATGATGCGAAAAGTACTTTGGGATACATTCATCATGAAGTTTGACTGCCGTAATACAAAAACTGACAGGGAAAATTAATTTAAAAATTTGCAATTTTTAATGCAGATGGAAAATATGTCTCAAGGGATCATCACAATTAAGTTACAATAATTCAAAGAAATAAGTTTAAAAGAAATGTAGCAAAAAAACTTTGTGTAGTTTAAAAGGCATACAAGGAAATTATGCGATGTCCACATCAGATTTTTTGGTTAAAGTGAAATTGAAGTTTCATTAATATACTTAATTGTTGTGCAATCCAGATTTAAAATTTCTTTTGAAAATATCATTGTTCAAATATGTTGCAGTCACAATCTAAAGACAGCTTGTTAAGTACATTAAAAGCCCACCTTATTTAACATTGAACTAATCAGAAAGCTCAAGTAACTGGAATATATTTTTAATTTAGGAACTCCCTCTCTCTCCTTTTTTCTGGGGGGGGGTATGAAAATTTAACCAAACGAGACTTTTTAAGCCATCATAAAGCATAAGACATATAAGACAGCATCTCGGGGGGGGGACTCTAAACAAACTGTGTGATTTTTAATGCCATTGATGAACAAGCCTGATGTTGCAATACAGTGTTTAGGTCTTCATTTCAGTTTTTTGTACACCCATAATTTTCGATTAGCTGTTGAAGAAGGATATAACTTAATTGCTATGTATCTGTTTTTCCTTTTGATTTTGAGAAAATGACTAAAATTTTAGACATGCCCAAAATGAAACAGCATGCAGTAAATTATTTGCAGAGTATTACAGGATCCTTGCACCAAGAAAAATGGGTATTAATGAGCACAATGCACGACTGGGTTTGAAAATGAATAAACAATGACAGTATGGCAAGCAGTTTCAGTTTTTTATATGCTAGATATGTTACTTGTATTTCTTGATCACCTAATTAAATAAAGTGTTCGCTCAAACTTATGCTGAAATAATTTGTGCATGTTTGGGGGCATATATATATACCCACTTTCATGATTGACTGGATTTCATGAACAAATAAATTATTTTATTTTCTTGTATATAAGACCTACAAAAATACTTTTTTTAAAACCTAAATTGTACTTCCCCCCCCCCTCCCGAAATCATACATAATGTTAAAAGTAAGCTTTTGATATTTTAGCTAAGAGATGAGATAACCTTTTTTATAATTTTAGGCTGGAAATTTCTTGTTCCATTCATCTTTACTACTATCAATTGCTTCTTCTCTTTCTTTCTCTCGCTCTCTCTCTTTTTTTTATATATATATATGTATGCTCATTTCGCATATCTGGCACTTCTCGAGCTTTCTGAGCAACCAAGCTTTTACTGAATGTCAACTGCTACACTTTCCTTCTGAAATTTGTGCTAAGAATGTTTTGCTGTCATATTGCTACATCTGTGTATAAATTACCCATATTTTCTATTTAAGCATTACATGTCGATCATTATCTTTTCTACTTGAAAGGTGGCCCAATGATGGATGGCTATCCATCACCTTATCCAGGAGCCTATCCACCTAATACAGGCCCACACCCAGGAATGATGCCTGGTTCAGAATATCCTGGACCTGGACACCATCCTTCGTATCAAGATTCTATGCATCACCCAGGATCTATGGTGAATCACTCAGGTTCAGAAGGAGCAATGGATCCTTTTAGTGATGAAATGCAAAATTCCCAATATTCACAGAGGCACAGCTCTAGTGATAATTATGCTTACTCTCAGTCAAATGCTAATAGCAACATCCCACCTTACTCTGGAAACCAGCCGAGCGTGCCTTCTACGTCGTTCGGTTACAGCAATACTTCTGGACAGCAAGAACCTTATAGTGATCAGTATTCTAACACCATGGTGCCTCCATCATCAGAACCGAGTTACAGTAACCGAAGCATGGTACCAGATCCCTATGCACCACCTCCTGGTGGTTATCCTCCAAACCGGACTGTCGGTGGTTATCCTGACCAAGAGAGGTAAGATTTTTTTACTCCCAAGCATAAATCTGCAACTGTTTTCTACTTTTTTTTTTTTTTTTTTCCACGTCTCCATGTCTGTGGTACTAAATCTGCTGGTTTTTAATTTTTAGCTTTTACTTTCCAAGCAATGAATAAAAATTTTTGAATTCATGAATCTTGTACAAATTCTACAATCACCCCAAAGCTCCTAGTAATTTTCAGTTTAATTTTTCTTATTTTATTTTATTTGAATTTTTGTAACCTACGGTAGACCTTTTGTATAACTTTTTATAAAAATTCAACCTTTTGTTTAAATCAGTATTTGCATTTAGTTTTGTTTTGCTTCAGTATATAGTACCTAACTTTATTTATAGTACCTAACTTTATTTATAGTATTTATAGTACCTAACTTTATTTACACAATAGTATGTACATAAATTATTAATTTTATTTCTAATCATATTCAAAAATACTTTCATAACTAAATTTCTCTTTTCTCAGTTATTTTTTTCGGTATAAAAAGTGTAAGAAACCTAATAAAATTAGCAAAAGAAAGTAAAGAATAGATAATTATATATCAGTATATTTTATATCAGAATCGTATTGTAAATAGTTCAGTAACCTTAATCATATAGTATAAATTTATATATTTTTTAAATTCTTCAGAAATGGCATCATGGCACAGTCCAAAAATTCCCTGTTTTTCATATTGTAAGGTTGACGGCTATGCAAGTAAATGTTTTATGTAATCAGATAATTCAGAATATTGTAAAATTTTTAAGATCTTTAAATTCGAAATCCTACCCCCTTCCCCCTAATTCTGATATTGAGAGCTGTTATTGAATGGTTACTCATGGTTAACTCTTAGTCTGCTATTGAAATAAAGGCATTTTTAGCGGTTTATTATTTACTTCTAATAACTTTTCTAAATTAATTTGCTTTGGAATTAAGTTCAAAATTTGTTAGCTGAACATCTGGTATGCAGAAAAAGGGGGGACAAATTTGCAGTTCTCTCATTCAGCATTTATCATTTTACTCGCTACAAGTATCATTATTTTTATTGTTAATTTGTCATTTGGCCAAATAGTATTTCTAAATTACCTAAAAATTTATGTTTT